GCGCTTTTACTGGAGTCTTCCCACAGAGATTGGACCTACCTTTCAAAAATACAATATGGGAAGTTTATGCCTAGCATAAATGCTAATAGTACCAGTTAGTATTTATGATGTGCTAATTCTGTGTTCTACCTTTTATGCAAATTGTTATTTAATTGCCACAAATGACCTTCTTTCCTTCCTTCTCTCCTTCCTTCCTTCCTCTCTCCCTTCCTACCCCTAGCAAAAGTGTATTGATCATCAACTGTGTACCAAGAAAAGGCTTATTGTCCAATAGGGAGATGGCTACCAGGAGGTGGTTGTATAAGTCAGATATCTAGATTGAACACATTAACGAACTGGGAAGAGGTAGAGAACTAGAAACTGTGTCAAGGGCGATTAAGCCCTGCTTCTGGTATGAGAAACTAAACTTGTATCCAAAAGGGATGCAAAGGCAACATAAAATTCTGAGAATTCACTGCAAATCCTAAATACAGATAAATCACACTGACAGGTTAACATCCAATAATTGATATGTGCTGGAGTTGGGATTCAAATCCAGGTCTATCCAATCTCAGTGTTTGCACTTCCACTGCCTTCAATGAGTGTTTAGAGTAAATGCTCACGCAGTAGGCACCTTCAAACCCCAAGATGCTGAAATACACATGACATAGGCTATTTTCATGAATGTCAGTGACTGAACAGTAGATCTGCTTCCACAACAATTTTTAAATTATTTTTAGTGTCATTAGATTTTCTTAATTAACTACTGGTATGAAATTAAAATAAGAGATATGGCAAAGTATAGGCTATGCAAAATGATGAGTCTAAAAATAATCTCTTGCGCTTTTGTAATATATAAATCAGTGTAATATAAGATTTTTCTCTGAACCCTACTGAGATGCTGCATTTTCTTTGTATTCAAAATTCTCCTTCTAAAGTCAGTGTTTTCACATGAATGTGGATGTGACTAAGAAATGTTATTCTCTGAGATAATTGCAGCAAAATTATATAGAGTATATTTTTTTCTGAGCAATAGATCTGGCTATGATGCTTGTAATGGATAATCTTTGGCTTGTTCCTCCTAGATTACGTGATAGTATTTGGTTAAATAATTATCACACATTTAATTGCAAGATATCAAAAGGAGACAGCTGTGGATAAGAAACACATGCTGAGTTTACACTCAAATTATTTGAATTCAAGTTCAAACTCTGAGCTTCAATTTCCTTATAACATTGCTAAATTCACAGGGTTGAGTGTGAGGATTGAAAAGCAGTGCTGTGCTACCCAGAGAAAAATATGCCTTGTTATAACAACAATCCTTGAGGTATAATGCCTTTTTTGTCTGCTCACTCAGTATTATAAAATAATTTCTTTAATATTTCCTAAATGTTGAATTTTATATATATATATATA